GAAGGAGGACAGGTACCCAAACATAAATATCCAAAGACGACTATAGACAAATTTGAAGTAGCGGAAGGGGTATTGTATTTAGTAAAGGAACAAATTGACAAAGCATTGCTGTACTGCCTTGTAATACCTGATCATTTGCGTAGAGCAGCACTAGAGTGGGCACATAACAGAGAGGCATCAGGTCACTTAGGACAGTGGAAGACTATAGCCAGAGTAGAAGGCCTTTTCTATTGGCCAAATTATCGCAGAGACTGTGTGAAATTTGTAGAATCATGTGAAGTGTGTCAAAGATTCAAAGGGACGAAAGGGTTAGAACAGCAATGGCAGGGGATGTCGGAAGTAACTAAACCTTTGGAGAGAGTATCTGTGGACTTGACAGACTTACATAATAGTGCGAAGGGGTATCGCTATGTGTTGACTGTCATAGATCACTATTCTAGGTTTGTCAATTTCTACCCGTTGAGAACCAAATCCACTCAGGAAGTGACCAGGGAATTTAGTAAATTCATCCATGTCTTTGGTAGCCCTGGAGTAGTCATTGCAGATAATGGAGGTGAATTTACAGCAACACAATTTAGAGAATTATGTAAAGTAACTGGCATTAAGAACTATTTTACATTGCCTTACCACCCTAGAGGTAATAGTGTCACAGAGAGAATGCACAGGACCTTTAAAACAACACTTGCAATCATGTGTGAAGATAATCCACTTCAGTGGCCAAAATTTCTCAGTCCCGTGCAGTCGGCTCTGAACACGTCTGTCCATGCCACAACTGGGGTACAGCCTCATTTTGCTTTCTTTTCAAGGCATGTACAAAGACAAGTAGGAATTGACTTACCTATAATAGAGAATGAGAGCAGTCAAGAGTTGAAAGAAGCCCATAGGTTGATAAAAGAGATGTCTGCCAGGATGTCACGAGAGACCAGAGAGAGAGCAAATAGATCAAGAACGAACCAAACTATGCAGTTAGGAGAAACAGTATGGGTGAGGAATGAATGGCCCAACCCTGGGACCAGTAGGAAGTTGAATACCAAGTGGAAGGGTCCGTACACTATAACAGAAATTATACGAGATGGTGCCGCATATGAGTTGACTAACCCCTTGGATGAAAGTGAGGTGATAAAGAGAGCGGCTGAGAAAGTAAAGAGGTATGTAAGTAGAGACATGTTTGTTCAGCTGAATGAGCCCTTACTTCCACCCTGTGATTCTTCCTCGGACTCGGGGTCAGACGAAACAGATGAGGAAAGTGATGACGGAAATGTGGAAGGTCAACCTGCAAGTAGATTCCCTGTGAGGCAGAGGAGACCAGTATTTAGAATGGATTTGTAGGAAATATAGTTCCAGAATGTTGCTTCAATTGAATAGTATTGGCTTTCCAGTTTGTTAGGTTGATTTGTTGAATTATAAAGTTTTTGGTGGGGGAGACAGTTGCTCAGATGGTTTGTCGGGATGCTTTTTGAAGATCAGCTATTAGTAGTGGTATCTATATTGTCTGAAAAGGTTTTTTTTGGGTTGTTGACTTCGTCAGTCGTACTGAAGTCACCCCAACATTATAAATCCCAGTTCTTATGAACTGAAGTCCGGAGATCCAGTGCTGCCAATGTTGTCGAAAGAAAAAAATCTCAGTTTATGTGTGTCGGAAGTTTTGTTTGGGTTGTTGACTCGCTCCGGGTGAGGGAGTCACCCCGACTTTCAAATACCAGTTCTTCTGAACTGTGAGATAGAAAATACGGGTTTTGTGTTATGAGCCCCAATGTGTATGTCTAGAACCATGGTTTTGTGTTGAAAAGGTGAATTATTATTGAAATGAAGTAGTAATCTGAGGAAGTGTCTGATGTAACTAATTCCCCATTCATAAACAAGAATTTAAATTCCTTAGGATATGTAATTTCAGGCAGAGAACTTTTGTTGTAGATGTAATGTCAAAGAGTCACTGTTTATGTGCTGGTGCCAAAAGTAGGTTGAGGTATTACGCTGATGAACTGTTAAGGGAATGTTCCCTATACTATATTGTACTGAAATAAGAGTTGATAAGTTGTTGTATGTATAGGTAACGGAGACTCGAGTATGAAAAGTTTGTCTCCTAATAATTTTCTTTTTACTGATATATTGTATACCGAACTAGCAGGATTGTAAACGGTTGTCTGATGTATATGGTAGTGGAGACGCTCGTAGGAAACGTTTAAGTCTCCTCATGTTTTGTTTGATGTATTAAGGTACTCTCATCACGAACTGTTAGGATGTTGTAAAATGTATGTACACTACAGCGTTAGTGCTTTGCATATTATTTCGCATAATATGAATTTTTGGGAGGGGAAGGCTATGTACTGCGCACATCATTGTCATCCCTAAAAATCCCATTTAATTCATATTACGCTACATAACATTCAAATGCACCGCGCTTGTAGAACCTCAGAAAACGGGAAACATGGATAAAGGACAACTCACCTACTCAAGGTTCCTAGACCATGTGTTGTATTGTACCCAGGTATAGTTATATCATATTAAGTGTATGTATTCATAGCATTAAGGACTAGTGTACTGTAAGACTAAGTGTGGATCAGGGTTTGAAGGTCTTACTATTTACGTCTGTGACTGTGTAGTGAACATAACTCCAACAGATATCATATGAAAATACATGAGAACAATGATCTGGAAAAAGGATAAATGTATCAGAACTATGTGAGGTGTTGACAGTGATCCAGAAACTGTACTTGAAAGGAAATATCGTGTATGCGTCGGTATGAATTTAATGCACCTCGTATCCTAACGTGACATATACCCACGAGAGGTACAGTGATCAGAGAACCTTATGTCTGTGTTCAAATTGTGCAATGTGTGAGAGGAGGATCCCTCATTACAGTTTTAAGTGAAGGTGATACACCCCCGCCATGATCATTCAGCCTTTGTTTCAAGGCGCGTCATGTACCCGCCTCAGTTGCCACGTTGATATAATAACCCCATGAATTTACCCCAAGAACTAGCAAACAAAGACCTTACCTTAGTGTGTAATTTAGGATTAAAATATGGGTTTATAAGGCATGAGTGACAATATAGCGAAAAGTGTTAAGGTGAGAACCCTAAGAAACAAAAGGGAAACTTAAGGCTTGGAAACTGTAGGCCTATGTGACGAGGAGCGGCGGAGCAATGTCCTCAGTCTTCCTCGTTCTACCGCCACCTCAGGTGCCATGTGGTCGGAGTACCTTGCCGCCCGGCCGCCATTGTCCCTTTGAGCATCACAACAGGTGGGGACGACTCCCCGCTATGCCAGTCCACTGTGAACCTGTGGATTTCAAGCGCACCACTCCAAATGAATAGTCACAACTAAGGAGACCGTGAGAAACTGCGGTCGTCACTTGGAGCGACCTATAATACCAGGCGTAGAAATAGTGCTGGTATGTCTCTAGGTGAAGCCCTCGTCTTTACCCACCGAGGGCGGTGTGCGAACGAGGTGCCTGTTGTGTATACCTAAAAGTCACAAGGAGTCACATACTTGCAGGTATGGAGTGTAACAGGTGTGTTGAGATGGTGCTACTATGTATGATAACCGACGGTGCTATATTCCACACAGGTGGAGCAGTCTGATGTGTTAATGGCTATTGTAAGAAGGAACGACCGAGGTACAGTGGTCACAGATCGTTATGCAATAAGTAGGTGGATGACACGCTATCAATGTAAGAGTCTGGGGCCCCTCTGGGTAACCACATTTCCGTTGTTCTTCTGAGGAAGGCCAATTCATGTATATGTTTTTTATCAGTATGTTTTATAAGGAATAAATCAATTAAGACATGTTATGGTTTCACCCTTCTTTACCCTTATCGATCTGGTCAATGGAAAACCTAACCCAATGCCTAGTCCACTCTGCCCGCTACCTAACGAGCTGCATGCTGTCCAGAGGGGGTCTGGTGGCAGCGACCCTTAGAAAGTAAGATTAGAGTTAAGTTATCCCCTTAGATTTAGTGACCCCAGATCTGGCAGTATAATGTAATAAGTTGGTAAAAAGCACAAAAGAGGTGAAGGTATTTCTGAAAAAAGGTTGGGTAATTTTGTGAATAGAAGTTGGGTAGGGTTAGGTACAATTCATTTACCAACGAGTGATTATGATGATAAGGTTCTAGATTTAAAGGAGGTAAAAGAGGCTGTGAAGTACAGTGACTTAATTATAATGGATACCTTTGACAAAGTCTGCACACTCATGCAAGTGACCACCTCGTGACGTTCACCAAGCACACATTCAACAAGCACAGATTTTAAGCCAGTTGCGGTGGTTCATTCAACAGGTGTTAAATAACTTCATGATGGACATACAAGTGCGTAGGTGTTGGTAATATATGCTCCATCACCAACACTGTACACCTGCACCGTCAATAATATTGTTACTCCGGCGAATCCATTGCGGTGGTCCACGCACACCTGCTACACGTAGTCTCCCTAAATGTAATGCTGTTCCATGTGAACCTTACCAATGAAGACTTTCCACACACCTACAAAGACTCCAAGATTTATGTTTAAACTCTCGACCTCAAAGAATTAATTATCGTTCTCAATGGATCAAATTATCGTCCTCAAAGTGTTAAATTATCGCCTTCAAAATGTTAGCAGACCTAATCATGGCCCCCAAGGAATGCCTGTCTAGTGGAACGGTTATGACCCCAAGTGTACAGGATTCGTTGACGCAGAAATCAAGTAACGCAACTGTTGGCAAGAACTGGGTAGTATTGGCTCCAGTGTTGGTCAAGTATGGCCTTGAATGAGCTCACACTCGGTGTCATCACAACACTTTCTGTCCGATTGTTCCAAGTGTTTACAATTCTCACTCCAAAAAAATTTTGCCCTGACAAATTGATGAACTTGTCGCTTCTTCAACTTTAAGCTGTGATCCCTAGTGGGGCGGGCAACCGCTAGTTCTAGGTGTGAACACTTAAATGCATAATGCCCTCTGGGGTCAATCCTGAGACATAATACATGTGAGACACTATACACCTGAAACATTAACCCACTTGTAGTTCAGCCTTTGCGTCCTGGAACTGAGTGGTGAGGCGGTCCAGCATCTCCACGTTTCGTTTCATGGTGTCGACGCGAATCTCCTTCATGATGAAGTTGTCGCGACCTCTTAGGTCCTCAAGCTCTTTGTTGTAGACATGCAATCTGTGGGGAGGTATGAGTCACTTACAACAATGAGATATGCAAATCTAAGTTTGTTCTTATTATAGACATACCTGCTGTAGTGAGTGTTACTGGAGGGCCACCAGGTGTGGTGAGCGTTACTGGAGGGCCACCAGGTGTGGCGAGTGTTACTGGAGCGCCACCAGGTGTGGCGAGTGTTACTGGAGGGCCACCAGGTGTGGCAGGTGTTATTGGAGGGCCACCAGGTGTGGTGAGTGTTAATGGAGGGCAACCAGGTGTGCTGAGATTTACTGGGGGGCCACCAGGTGTGGCGAGTGTTACTGGAGGGCCACCAGGTGTGGCGAGTGTTACTGGAGGGCCACCAGGTGTGGCGAGTGTTACTGGAGGGCCACCAGGTGTGGCGAGTGTTACTGGAGGGCCACCAGGTGTGGCGAGTGTTACTGGAGGGCCACCAGGTGTGGCGAGTGTTACTGGAGGGCCACCAGGTGTGGCGAGTGTTACTAGAGGGCCACCAGGTGTGGCGAGTGTTACTGGAGGGCCACCAGGTGTGGCGAGTGTTACTGGAGGGCCACCACAACATTTAAGAAGATTAATGGTCAACCTGATGTTTCATTGAATACACAATCTTTATAAGCAAAATCAATGTTAGTTTATTGGCCTTACAAGGGAGGAAGAGAGAGAATTTATGATGTTGCATTAATTTATCTATGTTTATGGTTTCGTTTTCCAATTATTTGTATCATACTGCCAAAGAAACACCATGACAGAGTGAAACTATAACATATATGCATTGATATCACAGCATAATACTCTCTTACACCTAACACTCCCACTATCAGCCACTCACGTTTTCTCAAAGTTAGCGACACGACCTTTGAGCGCCGTCTCCTTCAGGTCTCGCTTGTGTGAGAGTCGCGCCTCGGCCAGCCTGAAGTCCTCCTGAATCTTGTGTGGCCAAGCGTACATGCGGTTGACGAGAGACACCTGGTCCTCTGGTACCCGGCCGAACTGTGGGATACAAACAGGGAGCAGCGATTTATTGTTTTCCCGTTTCAACTCATCACTACTGGCGCTGTGTATGGTGAAGTTAGAATGCTGCCCTGGCATAATAAATTATTGTAAGTACTAATTTGGAGAACAATACTGTTTCACGATTATATTAAACTTTAAAAATATCCAGAAATTAACCCAGTAGAAGAAAGGAAGATTATAATCAAGCAGGTTGTAAAATAGTTATCCAGGCGATATCTCAGGCACTTTTAAAGCAATAAAACTGAAATTTGGACAGTGACCAAGAGCTCTGAATTTTTTTTACACAAGTTTTGTTCATGGGATGACATGATGAGCGGCGTGCAGTGAAGAGACTACTGTACTGTACTTGTCTTATTGCTTTTATGTCACTCCCATTCTTATTATAATATATTCATCTCCCATCTTGCTTCGGAGTGACTCCCAGTATGTACAGCAACATCCTCACCTCAGTTCTGTCCAACAGCTCCTTTTCCCTGAGGCTCACGTCTCCGCTCTAGACATTAACACAGGCCTTCTCACAATTAATATTTTTAGCTTCAGTTTCCTTGCCATTCTTCTGTTGCACACAACTCCTTCAACATCCGGCCACTATGTCCATACTACCCTCACTGTATCATTCTCTCCCCACAGCCTCTCTCCTCTATCATCGTCGATGCCAAGTATTTGCGCCTGTCCCCCAAGGTCAGCTCTTCTTTTTCTCCCATCTATGATACTAATTTCTTTCTCTCCCTTTTTGAAATGCATCATAACCTTTGTCTTTCCAGTATTTACTTTTAACTCCTATGGCTCTTAAGACTTTCCTGATGTTGTAACACTTTTCTGATGCTCCTCCCCTGTGCAGTTACAGTATGGCCAGATCATACGCAAACAGGAGCTCCCATAACTGAGTGTGTTTGCTGTTTTCACTTAGTACATTCATCACGATCACGAGGAGTAAAGGGCTTTATTGCTGAACCTTGATATAGATTAATTCCTAATTCAAATTCCTTCGTACAGAACATTCCTTCAGCCATCTTAACAAGTTTTTCGGTACTCCATCTTCCTTAAGCATCAAAACACTATCTTGGAATTCTGTAACTTGGTTTCTTCACATAAAAAATAAATAAATAAATAATTAAGTTTAATAAATTTATAAAGTAACATTTCCATTAATTTTTTTGAGCCCATGGTGTTTCCTTCTTCATATTAATGATGGATGTCTTTTGCATGTGTGGGACGTTTTATCAATGACCACCTTTTGTTTACCTTTACTCTTTTAAATTAATGCCACAGCTTTAGGTTACGATATGTTAGATTAGGGTAGGTTATGTCATGTTATGTTGGCAATTTAGAATAGACTGGTTTAGTTTAGGGTAGGACAAGATAGATTGTTAGGTTAGGTTAGGTTAGGTTAGATTAAGCCATGTCGACGTGAAAATTCTCCTTCTGTATGATAATGAATGAAGGTTTTATAAATATATTTTCTCCATAGTGTACAGTGTTAATAAGAAAAGGATAAAAATAAGAATAGTCATTTAATCTTAAGACAGTATATTTGTTTCCATAAACAATTTGGCTGTTTAAGACGGGCAGAAGTTGACAGAAGTCTTCCCCTCGATCCACTTTAGATAGTTGGTAACTTTGGTGTAGACGCCCGGGGAGTTCTCCTTAGCACATTCGTCACCGAAGGACACCACTCCCACCAGATGGTATAGATCATCCTTCAACCAGCTCAGCGGACCCCCGGAATCCCCTTTACAGGCGTCGTAACCTTTCCTGTATGTGCATATCATGTTGTCCGTCACGGTATCATTCAAATACTGTTGGCACTCTTTAGTTGTAAGTATGGGTAGCTCCACCTCCTGCAACACTTCACTCGGCCTCCCTCCATAGGTAGTAGTTCCCCATCCAGACACGGTCCCTTTCTCTCCGTTCATCTTGTACGAGGTAAATTTACACGGCAGACAGATCGGCTTGATGCCAGCATTGTATATGACGGGTCTAGTAAGTTGCAGGAGGGCAATATCGTTATCTACTGTAACACTATTATAATTTTCATGCACAATCTTTTTTGCGACAGCTATGTGTTGTGTGAATTTTGTATTACTTTCAATACTCATCTTGTGATCCCCCAAGCTGACAAAAATTTCGTTCACACTAAAAGGCTCAGCACAGTGAGCTGCCGTCAGCAGCAACTGGGCATCAATCAGGACTGCACCACAAAAGAATGTGCCATCTAGTGAGCGACGGATTCCTGCTTGCCATGGCCACTCGTTTTCAGCTGTGTCCTGTCCCCCTACAACCCTGGAAGCGCCCTTTACACCACATTTCGTGTTAGACTTCTTACTTATTGCAGTAACATTACAACTGAAGCCTGTGTAGTAGGTGTAGTAGACCAGTTCTTCAGTGAAGAATGCCGCAGAAAAAATGTTATTATCGATAATCACATCTATGTAATTCTTTCCACAGTAATAACGGCCGTCTGCCTTGTTTATATTTGCACTGGGAAAGATCCAAAACTCATCTAGATGGCAATTCTGACTCGGCATTATGAACAAATTGGGACAGGTTACCTGTAAACGTGCATTGACTGGTGCGACGAAAGTCCATATGCATTCTAAAGGCCTGGGGTATTCGTGAGGATAGTAGGGAGACTGGAAAGAGATGGTTTGTCCAAATTGCATAGATCTCTGAAAACCACAGTGAACATAACGAGTTGCTGTTGTGTTGGCAGTTACACTCGCCAGAGCTGTCAAGAACACACCCAACGTTCCTAGTGCTGCCATCTCTCCTCGTCTTCTAATTTACAGGTTCTCCTCGCATACTTATAGGAACGGTGATAATTTTTATTATGTCACTCTGAAAGAGACTACTGCCCGACTGGCCCACATCGCACTGGTCCCCTGTTGACTCACAACTAATACACATTAATTGAGCGCATGTCACCGCAGGTGGGGACACACCTGTGTGTGTATTAGTCACCAGCAGTCTCATTACATGAGAGGCAGAGCCTCAAACCACACAAAATATTATATAATTAAGGTTTTTTTTGGCATAAAATAAAAAAAATCACTGAAAAGAGATTTAATTAAAACCGACTCAAAACTAGTGAACATAATTCATAGAGATGGTATTGGGCTCTTACTGATCAAAAACATTGCTTTATTTTCTTATCCCTGTTTTGATTGGAATTAAGTAGCTCCATGAAATTGGACCCAGACTTAAAATGTAATCAATATAATAATAAAATAATTGTCTGTTATGAACAAGCAAATTAATGAGGTAGAGGACAAGAATTTTATGAAGCATTAGACGAGTTAACTGCATTAGCGACCCTGCATGGCTGACCCGCCCCTCCTGAAGGGATTAACGAACACAATTGGTTCCACAGAGTCAGTTATTAACCGAAAATTTCGTTAACTGAATCTATTATTTCAATGGGATATTGGGTAATTGGTTCCGACTCACAGAAAAAGTATACATACAAAGTACTGTATACTGGTAATAGAATTAACAAAACAGTTAATATAAACTAAATACAGTACCAATAGAATACTGTATTTTAACTTACATTGAGATGTGTATGTCGTATTCCCGGCAGCTTTGTTTACATATCAAGCAGCTGATTGTAGAGGCAGTCGATAATGACATACCATATTCTTTACAGAGTGCATTGATTCTAATGTATTCATCGTGATTCATAATAATTTCTGCACTGTATATAATCAATTTGTTAACTAAATTTCAGAATGACAAATAATTTTAATGTGAAAATGCAAAAAATATTCAAGAGACCAACAAACTCAATGTTCGCTCCACTGTGTCATGGTCACAATGACTGCTGGTCTGTTTGAAACCTGATGATTCATATTACGCTCCACGCTCGCAAAACGTGTGGATAACTGGTGAGTTATCCCTAGGAAGAAACGCGTTTTCTCTGACTTCCTGAAACCACCCTCCCTATTAAGTAAATTTGAATGTGAGAGAGAAAACCATTGTTTTGGGGTAACTTAGATATGTTTGATTGTAGTTAAAGCATTCAAGATCTCAGGTATGTGTACGATTTTCCGCCCGCCATATGAAGTCAGTTTAACTCGGTGAATTTTGTGAATATCAGTGTTCATGTTGTAACAGTGAAATTTTAAATTTTCCCAGGGAAAGAATTATTGTAACGTAAATCGTTTGTCGTTGCTAGACGAAAGATTGTTTGTGATTGAGTTATTATTCACATCTCTGATGCTTCTCCATCACTATCTCAGGCACAAGGCGTGTGTTATCTGAATACCCAACAGTCACCTGGGGACCGGTTGCTGCATACTAGCTGTATTGGAAGATGTAGTTAATTTGGCAGGATTAAACTGAGCGAGTCCGCACCCTGGGAACAACGCCCGAACTCCCTCGCCGTGTGTCAGACTACAACCGACCCTAACAGCGATCTTCATTTGTTGTTGAGACACCAGTGTTATACCCTGGGGCACACCTTACAGTTATATGGGCCAAAGTATTATTGTTGTATATGATTGGGGATAATTAGCCGAAATCTAGATATCCTATGTTGAGTGGTGAACCCATAAAAATTGATAGTATCAGTTTTAACGTGTTATGTGTTGTGAGTGCATCCTCCATATGTACTACCAACAGTTCTAGTGAAGGTATCATATGTAAGCTTGTCATGTGGTGTGTTCTTTTAAATGTACAACCAGTAATGCCCCCTGGCCTTGTGTCGGCACACTAGTGGAAACAAGTGTGCCGACACAGGGCCAGGGGGCAGCAGTGCACCCTCCACCCACTCAACCCCCCACCCGGGAGGCGGCACCAGCTCAGCCTACCGGACAGGAGGGAACGAGCGCCGTGTAAACAATGACATTTCTAACCACACCCTGCAAAATACAGTGTACTTAGCAAATGCTGCAGCTTCTGAGAATGTGGGGGGAGCGGGTTTATTACTAAGAGCAGAGACGTTACCGAGAACAAATTCTGGCTTGAATGTCATGTGCACTAATACTGACACGTTCCTTGATAAGATAGAGGAGTTTGAAACACTTCTAAGAGTACACCAACCAGATATTGTAGGAGTTGTAGAACTGTTGTACAAGAACAGGAGAATCGACCCAGAGGAATGTGAGTTCAGTATTGCTGGATATGACTCATTTACGAACCTAACTCAAGAATCCTGCAGGAAGGGTGTGGTTATCTACGCTAGGCAAGACCTTAGAGCCAGCCAGGCGAGGGTACAGGGAGAGGATGTTTTTGAAGAGTCCAAGTGGTGTAAAATTAAATTAAAGGGAGGGGACTTACTTATCGTCGGGTGTATCTACAGATCCCCAAACTGTGGCCCACTAAATCAAAGGAACTTAAGAACCTTAATAAACAATGCGGCGATGCTCAACCCTAGCCACCTCCTTATCATGGGGGACTTTAACTATGGCGACATCGACTGGAGAAACGAGTCCACCCCGAATGACTTGAATAACCCTGCTACTCTTTTTGTAGAAACTCTGAGAGATAATTTTCTGTTCCAACATGTGAGAGACCCGACACATTACAGAGGGGAGCAAACACCCAAGCCACTTGACCTCATCATAACAAACGAGGAGGGTATGGTGGCCAAACTGGAACACCTTGCCCCAGTTGGCACCAGTCACCATACAGTGTTGTCATTCAGGTTTAACTGTTACCTAGTTCAAGATAAGGCCAGGCCAAGGTGCAAATATTACAAGGGAAATTACAATGGGATGAGGGAAGAGATGAGGGGTATCAACTGGCCTGACTTATTAAGGTACAAGAACGCAGACACTACGCTGAATATCATAACTAGTAAAATGACCCATTTGATCGATAAATATATACCCAAGACCAAACCCAGTGCTTCTAAGAATACGAGGGGATCACTACACATGAACCATGCGGCGGTCGACAAAATTAAGAAAAAACCCAGAAATTCAAGACGTGGGTTGGGTCAAACGATGAGCAAGACAGGAGGATGTATGCAAGAGCCAGAAACCAAGCAAAGATAGAGTGTAGGAGGGCTGAAAAGGAGTTCCAGAGGCTGGTTGCACGCGAGGTCAAGTCAAACCCAAAGGCGTTTTACCGCTATGCAAAGTCGAAATTGAAAACGCGAATAGGAGTATCAGACCTGAGGCTTGAAGATGGTAGTTACGCAGATTCTGACCAGGATAAAGCTGAGGCATTGAACAGCTTCTTTTCCTCAGTGTTCACAAGAGAGGATGCAACTAACCTTCCTGCGTTTGAGGACAGACGGTTCGACACAGCACTGACCCACATTGTGTTCACAGAAGAGGGTATTAGAAATAAACTGTCCAGGCTAAAGGTCCATAAGAGTCCCGGACCTGACATGGCGCATCCTAGAGTGCTAAGAGAGTTGTGCAACGAGCTTGCAGAGCCCCTGAAGATCCTGTTTTGTAAATGCCTGGATGAACAAACGGTCCCCAGTGAATGGAAAGTGGCTTATATGAGTCCTATCTTCAAGAAGGGCAATAGTCACTCCACGAACAACTATAGACCGGTGAGCCTGACCAACATAATATGTAAAGTACTTGAGAGTATTATCAGAGATGCCGCAATGGAACATCTACTACAAAACAACCTTGTAAAAGATTGCCAACACGGTTTTATGCCGGGGCGCTCTTGCTTAACACAATTGCTCAAGGTATTGGATATTTGGACCCATATTCTGGAACGGGGTGGTAATATCGACAATATTTACCTAGATTTTGCCAAGGCTTTCGACAGTGTACCCCACGAAAGGCTGAAAATCAAACTGGAAGGGTACGGAATTCGGGGAAATGTCCTAGCGTGGATAGAAGGCTTTCTACATGACCGCAAGCAGTGTGTGGTGATTAATGGCACGAAATCGTCATCTGTACCTGTAACAAGTGGGGTACCACAGGGCAGTGTATTGGGCCCACTGTTGTTTGTTTGTTTCATAAATGACATGCCTGACGTTGTACACTCCTCCATACAAATGTTTGCCGATGGTGGCAAGTTATTTCGGGAAATTAAGAACCAAGCGGACTGTGAAGAGCTGCAGAAGGACCTCTGTGGGCTCCAGGAATGGTCGAAGAAATGGCTGCTGAGATTCAATGTCACGAAGTGTAAGAGGATGCACCTGGGGCGTACCAACGGTAAGGAGGCGTATCATATGTCCCAACGGGATGAAGAAAATGCACTAGATGAGACTGTGTGTGATGATTTTGATTTTGCCGCTTGCAGCGGCTACTTTATTGTGCACCCCACACTCATCCTGTGAGCGGTAGCGCAAAAGGATTACAGAGTAGGGTTTACAAAGGGTCATAATAATTAACCCCCGTTGTCAGGATATTATGGCACTGAATGTTACACAGTATTTCATTTACATTATCTGTTTAGTTCTATACATAAAGGGTAACTTATTCACAAATGCGTGAGTACAGGCGTGTGAGGCTGTATGTCTGGCCTCACACTTTGTTATTCACTTTACGTGAGAGGTATTCAAGCACATTGCGTATTTGGTTCTGTACATGAGAATTGATATCGTTACTAAGTGCCAAAAAGTGGATACAATCTTAATATGTCGGCTATCTTGCCATTAGAGATGAAGTGTTGTGCCATTTCACACACAGTGTGCTTGGACCTGTCCCTAAAAGGTTCTATCTTCACACAGTCGAGGACGTAGTGTTCAAGTGTGTGGCCATATGTATGGCCACACACTTTACATTTTACATTGAGAAGGACCTAGGTATGTATGATGACAATGAGCTGAAGTTCTCGGGCCATTGTGAGAAGAAGGTAAATTAGGCAAATAAATTATTGGGTCTTATAAGAAGGTCGTTCAGATATCTAGACGGTCCGTCCCTCGTGACGATCTTCAGGAGTGAAGTGCTTCCCCATCTGGAGTA